TTTACCTAGGAGTTGCTTTATGAAAGTTGGTGCTCCTATGTTCAGTGCATATATGTTTAGGATGGATATTTCTTGTTGATGGATTGAACTTTTTATGATTATGTAGTGGCCTTCTGTATCTTTTTTAATTTTTGATAGCTTAAAGGATATTTTGTCTGAGATTAAGATGCAACTCCTCCTTTCTTTTGTGTTCCATTTGCCTGAAAATTTGCTTCCCATCCTCTTACTTTGAGTCTGTGAGTGTCCTTTCTAGTGAGGTGAATCTCTTGAAGGCAATAGATTGTTACCTGGTGATATTTTATCCATTTTGCCATTCTATGTCTTTTCAGTGGTGCATTTAGTCCATTCACATTCAAACTAATTATTGAAATGTGAGAGTTGATCCTTATCATAATGATCTTACAGAGTTATTGTTCTTCCTGTTTGTGTGTTGTCTTTTTTTTGGTTTTAGAGTTGCATCATGTGTGTTTTTAATCTTTTGCCTGTACTCTTGTGAAGAACATTGTTGTTCTTTTTTCCTTTTCTTCTCTGTTCAATACTTTCTTAAGTGTTTCTTGTAGAGGTGGTCTTGTAGCAGCGTAGGTTCTTAGGGACTGGATATCTGGGAAAGATTTGAATTCTCCCTCACTGATGAAGGTTAGCTTGGCTGGGTAGGTTATTCTCAGTTGAAATTGTTTATCTTTTAGAACTTTGAAGATAGGGCTCCAAGCTCTCCTAGCCTGGAGGGTTTCTATAGATAAAACTGCTGCTATTCTAATTGGTCTTCCCTGGTAGGTAGTCTGACCTTTTTCTCTTACAACCTTTAGGATTTTTTCTTTTATACCTACTTTGTTTAGGCAAATTATTATGTGTCTGGGAGTTGGTCTTCTCATTTGTAGTCTTGCAGGGGTTCTCTGAATCTCTTGTGTTTGAATTTTTTCATCCTTGATGAGATGAGGGAAGTTATCTTGAATGATTTCATGAAATGTTTGTTCCAGTGTGGCCTCTGTTTCTCTCTCTGCCTCAGGAAGACCAAGTACTCTTAGGTTTGGTCTCTTGAAGTGATAATTCATCTCTTGAAGGTTTTGTTCTGTCTTTTTGAGCTTCTTTTCTGTGCTTTTGACAGTTTGGGTTAGTTCTGTGTTTTGGTCTTCAAGCTCTGAGATTCTTTCTTCTGCTTGGCTAATTCTGCTTTCCGTGCTTATTAGTTTGTTATTTATTTCCATCACAGTATTCTTTACTGCTGTTATTTCTGACATCAGCTCCTTCATATTTTCCTCTTGTCTGTCCTCAATTTTTTTAATTCTCTCTATTAATGTCTTGATGTCTGGGTTTATTGCATGTGACCAGTCATTCTGGGGGCTCTTCATTGCTTGTGTTCTGGAGTGTGTTTTCTCAGTGTCTGATCTCCCAGGGGTCTGTGTGAGACCTATATTATTCTTTTAGTTTTTCTTCATTTGTGCAGTTTTTTCCCTCCCTACTTTTTCCTTCCCTCCATGTCACCATCTTCTTTAATTCTGTTATTCAGGGGTAGAGGGATTGGTTTTACTTCTGTTTGTTCAATCTCCTATTCTTCTTATGTATGCCCTCTTTGTTCAATTCTGGAGTTGCACTGTAGGTTGGCGGTGGTCCTTTTTGCAGTTTTGAGATTTACTTAAGGGGGGAACTGTGATTCAAAATCTATCTGCAGGTCCTGGTATCCGCCAATAGGTATATAGATACTCTGAAACCCAATTCCCGCTGCCTTGGAATCTGTCTGTGCAGTGGGGCTGTAGGTTTACTCTCTGAAATAAAATGAGGTTAGTAGAGGGAAGAGAATGGAGCCTACAGTGGGGGAAAGAGGGGGGTGGAGAGAAAGAGGAGTATGAGGGGAAACAGACGAGTGTATCAACAAATGGAGAGAGAGACTTGTTTGAAACAGATAAAAACAATAGACCATGCTACAGACTAACCAGCTCCCATACAAAAAAAATTAAAACATACAATGATGCTAACATACAAGCTAACCAACCACCTTATTGGTGTGCTGTTCCTCTATACAAAGATATGGTTTACAGAGAGGAGAAAAGAGAAGAAAAGAAAGAGAGAGAAAAAAGGAACAAAACAATAGGAATAGAATCAAGTCATTAAACTAACAGAACCAATTGAGCACACTCTGAGACTTTTCATTTAAGTCTAATGTCCTTTCAGCTCTGATTTCTAGCTGTCTTCTCAAAGTGGTAAATTAGTTCACAGTTAGGATCTGTTGCCCCTGGCCTGCTGTGAAGGACAGTTTAGATCACCCTCAGTTCCCCACTCAAATCTGGCCTGTGTCTGTTTTTCAAGCTTGTTTTTCCCATTTTAGTGTTGTTACCTTGAATCGCCAGCAGGTGGTGCTATCTCAGCTGCTCACTCCAGAGGGGGTGGAGCCAGACAGGAGTCAGGCAGAAGCTGGAGATGGAAGCCTGCCTCGGGGCACAGGAGACCCACGACTGGCAGGACGTCAAGGTGGCAGCAGAGGTGGCAGCAATTCCAGGAGATCTTGCCTGCTGGGGCTTCCAGGACTGTAGTCATGGATTGCCTCAGGCACGGGTGGCACAATGCGCTATGGCTGCCACGGAGGCTATGGCGGCAGCAGTGCTGGTGGCTGCTGTGTCTGCAGCTGCAGTGGTTGTTCAGACTGTTGCAATGCCCCAGTGGTGGTGATGGCTGAGCTCCGTGTGAAGAGCAGGCTGCCAACATTAGGATCCACAGCCCCCGGGGAGAGAGCCACAGACCCTCTGCATTCTCCTTTGCAGAGGGTCTCATAGACCAGCCTGCCCTGTCACCATCTTGCTGGAAGTCCCCCTGAGATATTTTTTAAAATGGGAATTGAATTGATTGGCTACAGTTGACCCGAGTCATTTGTTGGAAAGACTATCTTGAATGACTGTATTTCCTGACCACCTTTGTAGCACATATATGTGTGAGTCTAATTTGTGGACTACTTCTTGTTTTACATTGGTCTGATTATTTACATTGGTGTGCACCCACAGTGTCTTGTTCACTGTATAGCAAGGTTGACCAATCAAGCAGTCTTTGTTGTTTGTGTGTGTGTGTGTGTGTGTTTCTTTTTGTCAGTTATTTTTAATTTAAACAAAACAACTACTTTTTTAAAAATGTGCATGTGAATTTGAGAATCAACTTGTCAATTCTTACTCTCAAGTATGTTAAACCCTAGTGGAATTTTTGATTGGGATAACATTGAATCTATGGATCATTTTCAGGGAGATTTTGTATTTTACCTGTTGGAGTGTTCATGTACTTTATGTACTTAAGAGCCATGTCTTAGTGTTCATTCAATTTCTCTCATTGTATGTGCCTTTCACATTTACAGACCATTCCATTCAAAACCACAAACCACAAACACTCTTTTCCTAGGCATCTTAAATGTTTGCCAATATTTAGAATACCTTCTTGGTGATCAAATAAGGTTTCATACACTTGAAGGCACTGCAGTCATATAAGTATAGTCTGACCACTGCATGATTCATTGAACATCAGCAACAAAAGATCTCTGGAGCATCTCAAAACATTTGCCAAATAAACAAAACACTTGTAATTAAGAAATGGTTTAAAGATGATACAAGGGCAATTAGATAGTATTTTGTGGGGGTTTTTTTCTTATTTTTTCTCCTTTTTTATTTTAAAGATGTGGCATAAAATTCAGGGTTAAGTATACAAACGTATACAAACGTTTATTATGCAGGTACCCTTGTTGATGAAGTGTGCCCCTGCCTTCCCTGGCAATTTTCCTCAACTGCCAATTCTACCCCCCCCCCCCCCCGGCATTTTCTCACCATTGCCAATTCCTTTCTTATAGTATTATGATAATTTTCAAGCTCTGCTTATGAGTAAGAACATATGATACTCTGTTCTTTGTTTCTGTGATAGATCACTGAGTATGATTGACTCTAAATCCATCCAAGTTGCTGCAAAGTCCATTTGTTTGTCCTTATTTATGGCTGTGTAATATTCCATTGTGTATATGTACCACATTTTTAAAAAATTCCAGTTTAGCTTTGATGGGCAGCATGGTTGGTTCCATGTTTTTGCTATGTGAAGAGAGCTGCAGCAAACATACGTGTGTAGGTATCTTTTTTGTAGAATGATTTTAGTTCCTCCAAGTATATTCCCAGTAGAGGATTGGCTGCATCATATGGTATTCAATTACTAGTTCTTTCAGAAATCACCTCACTAACTTCCAAAGAGGTTTCATTAGTTTGCATTCCCACTGGCAGTGTAGAAGCATTCCTTTTTCTCCACAACCTTTCCAGCATCTGTTGTTGTTTGTTTTGTAAATGATGGCCATTCATACAGGGGTTAGGTGGTATCTCGATGTGGTTTTGATTGCATTTCTCTGATGATGAGTGAGGCTGAGCACTTTTTCATGTGTCTGTGGGCTGCCCATATATCTTCTTTTGAGAAGTGTCTATTCACGTCTTTTGCCCACTTTTTAATGGAGTTGTTTGCTTTTTTCTTTTCAGTGCATTTTAGTTCCTTGTAGATCCTAGATGTTAGACCTTTGTCAGATATACAGTTGGCAAATTTTTTTCCCCATTCTGTGGGTTGTCTCCCTGCTCTCTTGATGGTTTCTTTTGCTTTGCAGAAGCTCATCAAGTTTGCTGAGGTCCTACTTCTCTATGTTATTTTCTTAAGATATGGGCACTTAGGGTTCTGATCAGAATTGGTTTCCAGTTCCAATTTCCATAAGGGTGTCTCCTGCATCTTCTAAGTTTATAAAAGTTTGAGGTTTTAAATTTAGGTTTTTGATCCATTTAGAGTTAATTTTTGTGCATGGTGATAAGTAGGGGTCCAGTTTCAATCTTCTGCATGTGATCAGCCAGTTTCCCTAGTACCATTTACTGACTAAGTTCTCCTCTCCCCAGTGGTTGTGGTTGATGGCTTTGTCAAAGATGAGCTGGTTGAGAAATTGAGGTTTTGCTTCTGGAACCTCTACCTGGTTTTATTGTTCTATATGCCTGTTCTTGTACCAATACTAGACTGTTTTGATTACTGTAGCCTTATAGTAATGCTTCAACTCTGGAAGTGGATAGCTTCTGATTTGTTCCTTCTGCTAAGGATTATTTTGTTTATTCGTGGTCGCTTATGTTTCCATATTAATTTCTGATTTGTCACTTCCAGGTATGAGAAGAATGATGTTGGTAATTTAAGGGGTACTGCATTGAATCTGTAGATTGCCTTTGGTAGGACATCTTAACAATGTTGATTCTTCCTTTCCATGAAATTGGAATACATTTTCATTTGTTTGTGTCTTCTTGGATTTCTTTCAGCCTTGTTTTGTAGTTCTCATTGTCACTTCTCTGATTAGGGAGATGCCGAGGTATTTCATTTTTTGTGTAGCTATTGTGAATAGAATTGTGCTTTCTGTTTGGTTCTTCACCTCCTTGTTGTTTGTGTATAAGAATGCAACTGTCTTTTGCACATTTATTTTGTTTGCCGAGAGTTTGCCAAAGTCCTTTATTAGTGCAAGCAGGTTTTTGACAGATTCTCTGGATTTTCATATCATCAGCAAAGTGGGATAATTTGACTTCCTCTTTTCCTGTTTGGATACCCCTGATTTCCTTCTCTTGTCTAATTGTCCTAGCTAGGACTTACAGCACAATGTTGAATGAGAGGGCTGAGAGTAGGCAGCCTTGTCTTCTTCCTGTTTTCAGGGAAATTTTTTCAGTTTCTGTCCATTTAGCAATATGTTAGCTGTGGGTTTATCATAGATGGCACTTACTACGTTGAGGTATGTTGCTTCTATACCTAGATATTTGAGGACTTTTATCAAGAAGGAATGCTGGATTTTATCAATAGTTTTTTTCTGCATCTAATGAGATAATCATGTGGTTCTTGTTTTTACATCTGTTGATGTATTTAATTACATTTGGGGTCTTGTAAATGTTGAACCAGTCCTGTCTCCTGGCAATGAAGTTTACTTGGACATGGTGGATGATTTTTGTGATGTGTTTTTAGATCCAATATGCTAGAATGTTGTCCTGAGGATTTTTGCATCTATGTTCTCAAGGGATATTGACCTGTATTTTTTTTTTTTAATTGTACAGACAAGGTCTCGCCAAGTTGCCCAGGCTGGTCCTGAACCCATAGTTGTTTTTTGTTGTTGTTGTTGTTGTTTTTAAGGATCTTTACCTGGTTTGGGTATCAGTGATGTTAGCTTTGTAAAATGATTTGGGGAGAATTCCATCTTTCTCTATTATCTGGAACACTTTTAGTAGGATTTATATCAGCTCCTCCTTGTTGTATATTTTGTAGAATATTGCTGGAAAGTCATCTGGTCTACTTTTTTTTTTGGTAGTTTTTGTATGACAGAGTCAATTACCTGGGTTGTTATTGGTCTATTTAATGTCTCAATGTCTTCTTGTTTCAACCTTGGAAGTTTATGTGATGTCAGAAAGTCCTCCATTTCATTTAAGTTATCAAGTTTGTTTCCATACAGGTGTACATAGTAATCTCTGATAAGCTATTACATTTCTTTGGGGTCAGTAGTGAGTTGATCTTTTGTATTTCTGATTGTGTTTATTTGGGCTTTTCTTGGTCATTCTGGCTAGGGGTTCATTAATCTTTTTAATTCTTTCAAATAACCAACTTTTTGTTTTGTTGATGTTTTCTATGATATTTTGTCTTCTATGTCCTGTATTTGGACTCTTATTTTGGTGATTTGGATTCTTCTGCTAACGTTGGGGTTTTGGTGGTCTTCTCTCTCCAGGTCCCTTAGGTGATTTGCTAGGCTCTCAACTTGTGATCTTTCTATTTTTTTGAAGTGTGCTCATAGAGACGTAAATGTGATCGATCTTGGAGTAAGTTCCATGTGATGATCAGTAGAATGTATATTCTGTGGATGTTGGGTGGAATAATCTGTAGGTATCTATTAAGTCCATTTGGTCCAGTGTCAAGTTTAGGTTCTGGATCTCCTTGTTGATTTTTTGCCTTGATGATCTATCTAGAGCTGTTAGTGGAGTATTCAAGTCCCCTGCTATAATAGTGTTAGAGTCAATATCCTTTTTTAGTTTACTGAGTAGTTACTTTATAAATGTTGGTGCTCCTGTGTTGGGTGCATATATGTTTACGGTGGATGTTTCTTGTTGATGGATTGAATCTTTTATCATTATGTAGTGTCCTTTTTTATCTTTTTTCAAATTTTTGATAGCTTAAAGTCTGTTTTGTCTGACATTAAGATCACAACTCCTGCCTTCTTTTGTGAACTCTTTGCCTGCAAACTTGTTTTCCATCCTTTGAGTTTGTGTGCATCCCTTGTGGTGATATGTTTCCTGCATGCAGTAAGTAATTGAGTCATGGTTTCTTATCCAGTTTGCCATTCTCTGTCCTTTCAGTGGTGCATTGAGTCCATTCACATTCGGGATGATTATTGAAATGTGATTGTTTATCCCTGCCATGAGGTTCTTATAAAGTGTTTTCTTTGTTTGTTGTTTTCTTTTGGCTTTGGGTTTGACGTATGTGTGTGTTTCAATTTTCTTGTTGTGCTGCATTCTCTGTTGATTCTGTG